ATTACAGTATACTGCATACTCCGAGTATTACATACTTCGAAGTACTAGAGCTCGTACTAAAGACTGTGAAATATAATTATCTGTGAAATATTATTTACGGACGCGCGATATCGACGTGGCCACAAAGTCACCTGCGCGATATTGCGATGGTATGTCGGTCGTTGGATGCGCCGGGATGACGTGGTGTTGGTGCTGCGTAGATCGACTTTATGCTCCTGGTGTCCCGTCAGGGGAAGACGCGTTTGTCCAAGTGGTACTCCACCGTGCCACTCAAGGACAAGGCGCGCATCATTCGTGAAGTGACTACACTTGTGCTCGGACGGCCACAAAAGCAATGCAACTTTATCGAGTGGAAGGACCAGAAGATCGTGTACAAAAGGTACGTAGGGTTGTCGATGATGCCGACGTCTAATTGAAGGTCATTGTGTGTAGATATGCGAGTCTGTACTTTGTCGCGTGCATTTCGAAGGAAGAGAATGAACTCATTACGCTCGAAGTGATTCACTTGTTCGTGGAAGTGCTGGACCGGTACTTTGGCAACGTTTGCGAATTGGACATCATTTTCAACTTCCACAAAGCTTACTACATCTTGGACGAGCTCTTAATTGGCGGCAACCTCCAAGAGCCAAGCAAGAAAGAGATTCTCCGCGTGTGCCAGCAGCAAGAAGACTTCATGGAAGAGTCCAAGGAAGATCTCTTTGTGCGTCCACGTACAACGACCCGGTAGAGCGTTCAGTGGAGACGTGCGAAGCTAGCGGCCGCTATTGTCTTAGTTGTGGTCGAGTGGTTTAACAAATCGAACACTTGGCACAGTCATATCATGAATAGCTGTTGCAGACTACAGAGCGCATTTTGGTTCACTCGGACACCACGGCGTTTCGACCCCGCATATTGCCGCGCGCTCGTCGTATCTGGTGGGTTTGAAGGCGACCGGTGGACCGATTCTTGCATGGCATGATTTTTCGTCCCATATGTCACGGAATGCTTGGATGAATGCAGTAGGCTCGGTCCGGGTCGCTTTTTGGGAGATAATCTGATGCTTTGAACGGATGGTCGCTTTTTCGAGAGTACCACGAAAGAGTGATGGGGCGTGGCCGTTGACTTATCACATTTTTTTGACGAGGACGAGCCTCGAACGAATACTTCCTTGGTAGATGGCCGACGTTTTGAGATGCTATCTTTGGCCTTCTTCGATGGCTTGATGTAGTGGGTTTGATTGGATATATCAGTGACTTTGGGCGGGTCCACCGACAGTCGTCGTATGGGAAGCGGGGGTGTTGAAGGGATGGCAGTAGGGCTGAGTAGTCCTTCGGGGCTCGAGAAGCTGGAAAAGCTATGGCAAGGACTGGGTGTGGGATAGTTGCCTAGGCGTGGAATGTATGCTCCATATTATTTCGAGAGTGGTTGTACCATTCGTTGGGGGCGAAGCATCTACGCCGAGCGATTCGAAGTAGGCGTCGTTGAAATTGTGAATGGATGCAGCTATGTAATTTCAGCATGAAACCAAAGCAAAGAATAGAATGACATGACTGCACCTGGAGCTCCAAAGTCTCGCGACGCTTCGAGACTGTCGACTGAGAGGTCAATCGAGTAGTAGGATATCTCTGTCAATGGTTTAATGTGCAAAGTAGTCAATCGACGGATTACCCATATCCACGGAATTGTCAGGGCTCGTAGTTGCTAAAACAATATTGAACTGACGTATGCAAGAACTGGACGTACTGGTTATTGGCTTTGTTGTGGGGATTGCAGGGGCGACGCGTGGCGCGGAGTGTACTAAACCTTTTGAATTCAGTAAAAAATGCGAACAACTTACTTTCAGAGTTTGGTGCATTTCGCGCCATTTCAACGGCATCGTCGTCGCTGTCGTCATACGTAAGTACTCGGCACTCTTCTCCAAGCACAACATGTTTGCGGCTCTGAGATTTGTTAGGGACACGGAGGTTTGCGTCTTGGGGGATAGCTTCATTTCGTTGGTCGGGGCGACGTCGCGGTGGGGATACCATCAGAAGTTTGAGGTAGAACGTGTTCTCGTTGTTGCATAGATCCGTTTGCTCGGGTCTCTTCTTTTGACGTGTCGGTCCTCGTGGGAGTTCGTCGCGCCCCCGTTTCTGCCCTGCTTGTCTCTTGTCATTGGATTTGGTGGATTTCTCACCCCGCGCCACGACCTTGTTTTCTATCTCCATCATCTTCTTCTTCGACGCGCACTTCTTGCTTGGTTGCATCGCCTTGGCTCGTCCTTTCCGCTGCATCGCCGCAAAACCTTGCACACTCGTCGCGCGCAAAATTCGAAAATGTCTCGTCATGGATCAATGTTTTCAAGTTCGATTGGTTAAAATTCTCCAAGTTGAAGCAGTTTCTTAGCCAATCACACGGGGGGCGAAAACAACGACGCATGCGTCACCACAACTGCGACGGCGCCTGGGGAGTGTGTCGGTAGGCGCCCATGTTCCGCACCGCGATGGCCGACATGGCTTTCCTCGCGTAGTCGGTCGAACCCAGGCCAGCTTCCTAGATACATCACACCCACGTCGTTGGTCAATGCCGTTGGAACGAAGAGGCCAGCCCACCCGCAGCGCTATACCAAGCTTGAACCTCGCGTCCTTGAAAAGTTTATCTGTATCGTAGCCATGCGACGGAAACAGTCCAGTCTCCTATCGCAGCCACCACCGCGAGCGTGAAGCCAAGTGTTGGCATGTGGCATGGTTGGACGGACGTACGTGAATTCCCAAGCCGTCTTGAATAGCTTCCACGTTGGCCGTGAACGCCTCGGTCGGTTTTCGCGTCCGCTCCGGGTCGACCTACACCCCACCGTTGGTGGCACCACCTTGTATAAAGTTACCGCAATGTGGTTGAGCTTCTCGGCGTAGGGCGTTTCCAGCTTGATCGCATCCAATGCGCGTTGCCTGAGTTCGTCGTCCTCGGCTTTTTGCAGCGCCTTGCGCTTCAAGTCATCGCGTTTTTGCTGTGTCAAGTTTCAGTGTGACGTAGCTATTATCGCTCTGTTGATTACCTCGTACTCCTCAATGCGGAAGGCCACCCGGTCCGCGTTGAATGCGTCGCGCTCCTTCCTCTCTTCAGCTTCCATCGCTCGTAACAACGCTTTCGCTTCTTCTTGCGCCATTTCGTTCACGTGCTGCCATCCCCTACATAGAATTTTCGCCATCACAATCTGTAATGGAAAGGTCCATTTCGCACTTGTGATCTTGCAGTAGCTTCTTTTTGAGCTCGTGGTCCTTTTGCCGTTTTCGATCGGCAGCCTGTTGCATGGCTGCTGCTTCCAGCCGAGCGATTTCTGCTTGATGGGCGGCCAAATCGGCTTTAGCATTTCGCTTTCCTAAACACCGTGGTTGAGTCCACTCACCCTTTGCGAGTCGCGCGCCCAGCGATACCTTTGAATCGCTCGACTTTTGCATGCATGAGCGCCTGGTCCGCCAGTCGCTGAGCCAGCTCCTCTTCTTTGGCCTTTGTCAGGACCGCGGCTGCTGTCGCCGCAGCTATCGCCGCTCTTGCGTCATCCTTGAAGGCCTGTACGCGCCGTGTATGCTCAGCCATGCTTGTATAGGCCACAGTTAGCACGTGAGCATTATTGAACCAAACAATTCCTTACCTGTCGTCTCTTTGCTGAGCTAGACGCCGCACGCTGCGATACCACGTGTCGTGCGCCCGGATTGCGTTCAACGGCTGCATCGTGACTTCGGCTGCGACGCGAGTGACGAACTGGTCGTTTCGAATTCCCTTTGGTTCGCAATCCTTGAAAACTTTCATGAAGTGGTCGTGGTCTGTGGCGGGCCAGCCCCCCGTTTTTGACAGAGCCACCGACGCGTCCTGGACACCACACTTCTGGAGAAACGACTGCTGCAGTTGCCGCAGGTCCTGCACAACCAAAGAGGTCAGCTGTCACTACGCGCAAACGACAAACCCAACTTGATTGTGACGGTGGTAGAGCTCGAGCGCCTGGCGTTGCAACGATTCTTTTAGCGCGGCATCCGGGCACTCGGATCCCCCGAGGAAGTCCAACATAGCTCCTGCATTGTCTATGGATTCGACGTCCAGCCCGCGCATCTCGAAACGGAATTGGTGCAATACGAACCAAGGGAGTCTTGGTTTCCCGACTCCGCCAGCCCACCCCGCAGGCACAAATGCAGCGCTGCTGCTGCCCTCGCAGCATTCTGCGCAGTCGCGCTAGCGTCGGCGGCTAACTGTTCCCACACGACATGATGGCCGACAATCGCATCGATCATGACGTTTTGCAAGTCCGGCTAGGCATACAGTGAGAAGGCTCGTTCCGTCGACGACCAGGGCCCGGTCGCGTGCGTTTACCTTGACGCGCGCCAACCACAATGGACCGTTGGTCGAGTGGTCGATCCGCACCCGCGCCACCAAGTCCCTCAGCGCGCATCGCTAACTCCTGGCATGAGTACCGAGGTCATCGTTGGGGCTGCATGTACTGTGTCGCGATCGGCGTGGATTTGCTTGATCCAATGCAGACGATGGTGTTGCAAGTCGTCGACAAACGACTGCAACACTCCATCGTACGTCACGATCTCTAACCGCGGAGGCCACTCGGTCAGGAAAGAACGACACAACAAGACGTTGCCGACCCACCTGGGGACGCAGGATCACTGATGGCAGCGGCCGAGCTCGATTTGCCTGCGCCATGCTTATCAAGGCGACATCCTCAAGCTCACTGCAAAGTGACCTGATGACGAGGGCATGGTCGTGGCAGCGTCGTTCAGGTACTTGATCAGCAACCCGTCGAGCTCTTTCGTCGCGGCCTGTTCAACGAGCCACAGAGTCGACTCGAACGGAAAGTTTCGTGTTCGTACGTCTTCGAGCTTGCGCAGGTGCGCGAGGTCGCGCAGCCAGTCGAACTACATACGACAAATATCGATCTGTCCACTGGCTCATTCCAGTCGCACCTTGGCCGTTGTGTGCTTGGTGTGTTT